CCTTTTTAGAATTCAATTATCATATCTCCACCCTTCTCAAGTGAGGCTATTACGCATGCACAGGGGGAGAGTCCGAGGCATGGCCAGTCTTAGAGGTGGGCAGCCTTCAAGCAGGAGGTGTGTTTTGGTATTATAATGAAGCAAGTCTTGTCTAAAGTTCATGGTTTCTTCATCGATGTTGTGGCAACAGCTGCAATCCATCTGTTTTGACAGTGGCTATGTGGTTATCTCTAACAGCTCTGGCTAGGCCCAGGTACCGAACAATAACCCAGCACTCATGTACTGCACAGCTCAGGCACCGAAGAACAGCACTGCGCTCCCTGCACCACACGGGTCAGTGCTCAGGAGAACAGCACAGCACTCGCTGTGCCACACAGTTCTGCATTCAGGAGTCTTTGCACCACATTCCACTCTTGGGATTGGCAAATGTGTCCCAAACAGGCCATTGTCAGGTATCTTTCTGTCCATGTCCCTGATGACAATGTTGAGACAATGCTGATCTTCTGACCGACTCTTACAAGAACCCAGAAGATAGAGAGAGGGGGAGGTAACTGGCACCCCTCATCATCTGCCCTAGCCAGAGCCTCTGGACATGCAGCTCAGTACTTGTGAATAGGGAAGCATAAGTAGAATTAGATTTTTTTTTTTTATTAGATTAAAAAAAAAAAAAAAGTTTTGTTTTGAGCTTTGCCACAGTATCTCCTGCATTCTGGAGACAGCAGCACAACCTTTGGGTTGGACTGCAGCTCCTCTCTCCCATGAAGGCTCTGAAAGTACTGAAAGTCCTTTAGTCCCCATGCCTCTGCACTTCAGCCCACATCCTTCCTAGATAAATGTTGAAATGAGGGATTAAACTATTCACAAAGCCAGTCTGTCTCATGATGGGAAGCAGATATCTCATGGAGGCACAAATCACGTAAATTATTCTTGACTGACAAATACGCAGCTATCAAGTCTCCCATTTTGGAGATCGATTGCTGAGAATCTGGTAGTTATTCAGAGTATTCACAGTAGATCTGCCAGCTGTTGTTAACGAATTTAGGGGGAACTGGATGCTTTATAATTGGGAGGACACAAAATTATTCTTGTTCATCAAGGACTGACTCCCTGCGAGGTTAAATTCAGTCACTATCTCTCTAATGGAAATTAAGCACTGGGACAGTTGGTAGCAACTGCCATTGCTCTCTAGCTGTTTACAAGCATTACAGTCACAATTCCTCCTCTGCAATTCCCCATGAGGGAGTTAAGTGCATTTGTGTACCTAGGCTGTATTTCAGCTGAGAAGTGCTACAGGCACAGGCTAATGGGAAAATAGTCCCTGAGCCTTCAAGTATATTACCTGTGGTAAATTAATCATTTAATATAGGTATACATTTATGTAATATTTGCCTAAGAGGTGCTCTGAAATTCTCTTTGAGTAATACACAATTAGATTTAAATGTTTTCCTCAGTTTTCCTTTCATGAGAGTATTTTCCAAATTTTCTCCAATAATTCATTCCATAGCTGCATTTCAACTGGTTTGTAAAATTTTACTAACTCACAAAGATATAATTTGCATAGAAATGAAATACAGACAAAAATGCTGAAGAAAAGAGAAGGAAATTTAAACTAAGTATAGCATCATAAACAATTTCTTTCATAGGTGCTTTCAAGTGCAGTTGGAAACAGTCATTTAAAAGAATACTATCAAAGAACATGCTGTACCAAAAAATGGTATATTATAAAACCGATTCAAACAGCCACATCTAAATTCCACATTCATATGGATTGAATGATTGACTGATTATTACTGGCATTTATTTCACAGAAAGAGGGCAGCTTAATAAAACTGTATTATTCAGTCAATGGTGTGCTATGATGGATAAAGAGGTGAAAATCACAAACATTTAAATCCAACAAAAGAAGAAGGCAAGGAAAGTAGTGAAAAAGAGGGAAGAGAATTCATTGCTAAGTGATCGTCTTTTAGGCTATCCTATTGATGGTCTGCTGTAGCAACCAGACTCAGAAAACAGAATCACAGCTTGACTTTACAGTCCAGATGAGGAGGAAAAGCTACAATTAATTTCTAGTCAATAATAAGATACCACACCAGTCCTTGAGGAATCAAAGGGTAGAAGTATCAGGGTTTTTAATCTGCACTTCGAGATTTAAAAAGTAGAACATGGAAAACTGTGCCTGGGACAGAATTTATGAACAACTCTTTGTGCAAAGAAGGAGGAACTGCTTATTCTTTTTATTTCTGCCTATTATATATCTGCTACCATTGGTCTTTATTTTACTGGCAAGACAGCTCTTCATAGATTAAATCTTGCATGGGCTTCCTAAAAGCAAATAAAATTAGAACAAATGATGGTCTTACATGTCAAGGAGCTGACATGCATGTTAGCATACTGTATCATGTAAGCCAAAGGCAATCTTCAAACAGAGCTTTAAAATTGCTTTTCTCCACATGCCAAATTATCTAGCTCAATGAACAAGATGAACCCAGAACTTGAGCTGTGTTCCTCTGAGTGTCTCAGACCACCATTGCTGATTGATGGTCCTGGCTATTCACAAAGTCTGTAGGGAGGTAAGCTAAGTCTCTCACCAACATTACCCCTTCATATCACCAGGTGTTCTTGCAAGAAGCAACCAACAGCCACAGTCATTCTCACAGCCAGAGAGTTGAACCACTTGGCAATCACCCTTCCCATCGATCCTTCAACAACCCAGGTGCTGAAATTCGAGTCCCTGCAAAGACCCGTCAGCCCTCTTCTGCTTCTACCTGTCCTCCTACTCATGTCTCTGTGAGGCCCAGAACTGAAACACACAAGACAATGTGAGGACAAGATCTGCAAATAATGCCCCTCCCAGCCACTCTGTGTTAATCTATCTCTTCCATGCAGAAACAGTACTGTTTCACATCAACCAAAACCACCTTCTGCAATGGTGTTTCAAGGGTTTCTTCCTAAGGGAATGCTATCCTGACGTATTTGCACATTTTAGATCTCTGCTGCTCTAAAAAAAAGTTTGAAAATATTTATCAGAAGTCAGCCACAGGGACTGTGTGAGAGAGAAAGCAGCTTGCTGACTTTGAAATACATCCTAGTAAAAGGTTAGCATGAGGAAATGTAAGATCTGAGCCACAAGTATGTAGTGTTCAATCACACACCAAGCAAGAGACCTAGCTCAACTGTTGAGAAACATCTTTGTGTAGAATTCACCACACACTGCTTAAGTTCAACCTGCCCTTAAAACACAAAGAAAACAACCTAATTCCACCTAAAACAAAAATACATTCAATTTTAATTTTGAACGGAATTAATTTTTATTTTTAACCTAAGGTTTCCAGATATAAAGAAATCCCCTTACAAGACAGTTTCTGATCAGTAAGCACTAATCTCTTCCCAGACCTCAAATTATACCTAAACTATGCTGACAGATCAGAGTAATTGAATAACCAGCAAAATGCAGTTCACATTAAGTCCAGGAGTTCACACAGTTCTCAGAATTTTTCTTAAAGAAGGATGAAGAATATTTACTTCTGCTTGTTACTCCAGTGCTTTCTCACACAATACTTTTACAAAGGAGATCTGGAGAACCAGTTACCTGAACAATGCTATATAAATCCTAAAAATGGCATCTTCTAGTATAACATACAGTTTCTACTCAGGAGACTTCTTTTAATGTCAAAACAAAAAGAGATACTAGAATTACATAAGTGAGTAAAAAGGAGCATTCATCTTTATACTTCTAGGTTCCTCAGTCTTCAGTTTTGAAAAGTATATCACCATAATAAATGCTTGTATTTTAAGGGAAAAAAAAAAAAAACAAACCACAACACCTTACAGGATATTTGTTATGATGAAAGAATGGAGCTGAGAGAGGTATGACAGAAACTGATATAATTGGCAAATACCACTGCTTAGGTTTGGGCTCTTGACATTAACAGTTCCTAGTATTAAAAGAGATTTTTTGTATATATTCTTGTAAAAATGAGCCTAGCAAAGAAGCCCTGAAATGCATTGCCACCTATGCGAACCTTTGAAATAGTCTATTCTTTCAGTATTTTCTGGATACAGGACAAATACTTGGAGTTAACGAAGAATTTCTATTATGCTTTTTTCCTGTCAGCCTTTGCACTAGAACAAAAGGTTGGACCAGTTGATATTTTGAGGTCCCTTCCAATCTGTGCTAGTCTGTGATTCCATGAAATGGTCATTTAACTGATTTCTTTTGCTTTATGGATATTGATTTGGAAATTGTTGCCACCTGCAAGTCTTCTTTCAGGTGAACATGAGAATTTGGTGCTCATTTGGTCCTCACTGGAGTAGCAACTGTATTCCCCTACCCACCTATTCTGTAAAGGGGCAGTGTTCAATCTAGGTGTATTCTTCAGATTATGCTATCAATTAAGTCCATTATAATCTTTTACATTTGCTTTTCATGATAGCAAGTGGCCCAACAGAAAATGAACAAAGACCAGGTGCCAGGGAGGTTCTTATTAACCATAGATAACAGATATGTGAGCCAGGCACATTATTTCAATCTCTTGCATGTTTTCCATCAAGAGTCAGATGCTTTTATTATACTGATAATACACCTTACTCCTATATCTCATGGTCATATTGTGAAGCTGGAGCCCTGTGTTGGTTTAAGCCCTGCCAGGACCGGAGACCATGTTGCCATTGTCCTTCCCCCACCCTCAGACACAAGTAGGGCACAAACCCCGGGTTAAAATAACAAGAAATTTAATACAACAGTGTGATAAACAATCAACAACAACAGTAGCAATAATAACAACAATAAACAGTAATATAACAATAATATAAGTAATAAACAAAAGATATACAGAGAAATACCGCCATGGACACAGCCAGTCCGCCAAAGCCACAAAGGAAAAGCCTCCCGCGCTGCCATACCAGACCTGACATCAGCATGGTATGAATAACCCGGCTGGAGATCCCTTCCCCCTGCTGGGGAAACTTAACCCTATCCTAGCTGAACCAGGACAAGCCCCCAAAAATATCAGTGAAAAAAATTCATCATAATCTCTGCTCTTCATTCAGGAAGAGCATAAGATCTTATATAGATCTGAACCAAACCAGAGAAAGTGAGGTTTGAGCAGAAGCTGGTCCATGCAGCCTTATTGGGAGAATGATGTAGCAACTGCTGTAGATGGAGCACTGATTGATTCTACACAGGGTACAAAAGGAACATTACTACATACTGTATTTTCCTATCTACCTTCATTGTCCCTTGTAGCTCACCACATTTACACATACCACAGAGTCATTTTGCAAGTAAACCTAGAGTAACTGTACTATTATTGAGAGACTCAAAGAAGTCATAAGCCAGTTTCTTTCCACAGACCCAGAAGTATAGCAGCTTCTTGGTCATTTAGATCCATAGCAATAACTCGAGACAAAAAGGCACAGTCAGGGCTATGATATTCCATACAACATGGATAAATGGAAGCATGCACTGAATGCATTTTTGCCTAACAGAAGTTTTTAAGTCATGTCTAGCTTAAAATTATACAGAATCTTTAGAAGTAGCATACAATGTTCATGTTCTTCTCATGTGACTCTTTCTTTATAATGTAATATTGAGACTTTACCCTATTCAATGGTATGTGGGTAAAAACAACGAAAGGAAGAAATCTGGCAGCTTCAGAAGGATAAGTCCCTATCAATGCATATAGATTCTCAGGTAACATCATAAGAAATTAGATTTTATTTTCTAAAAGCAACCCACTGCAAAACAGTCACTTAATATCCCATTTTATAAAAATTAAAACTACTTAGCTATAAGAATTAAAAGCCACAACAGAAATAGGTACTACAGGAATCATCAGCCAGCAGTTCTTTTAATTCAGGAAATACTAGATGTACGTGAAGTTTTCACATGCCAGCTGCCAACACACAAACTCCTTCAGGAAACAGTCAAGTAGTGACAAACCTGTGATAGAGAGTCAAAAAGACACCCACAAGAACCCTTAGCAGCAAGGGGAAAACTACTCACTCTCAACATTTGTCCTAACACTATGGTACAGAGTGGGAGGAGCTAGTTTCTGCTTCTGGTCATTACTGGCCATTACCGTCATCCTGTGTAGAGAACAGCAAGCAGCAAGCTGCTAGCAGATAAGGCAAGAGCACTTTTCTTTGAGCTACTGTTCTTTGTAGGGCTTTTGGAACAAAAAGGCAAGAAAAAGGGTAGAACAGGTCCTTCTCAATTTGCACTGGAACAACCCCAAGTGTGAAATGAGATCGGAAAAAAAATGTAGGGAGAAATGGGAGCATATACACATGCAAAGCAAGAATAGTTCTCCAGATTATGGATCTGGGTCAAGGTATCAAAAGCAGAATATTAGGACCCACTGAGCAAAGCAATGTGTGGAGAATGAGAACAGGAAAGTCTGGTACAAGGAGAGATTAAAGATGTCACAGAAGAGAGTGAACAGAAGAGCACACACTTCCCCTGCCCTAAACTGAGGAATCTCACCATATCGTTGCTGTCAGCAGCACCCATAAAACCTTCCTGCAATCCCCACAGCCTGACCTGGTTCCTTTAGAGAGCTACAGTCTGCTACTATTTTATAACACTTGTTTCATTCAATGGAAGATGTTTGGATAGCAGATGTAATTGTTCCTGCGGATGATCTCTTACTGATGGCAATTTAGTGTCACACTGTATACTTCTGAAGGCCTTTTTAGGGTGGTTGGTTTGGGGTTTGAATTCCAGAAACACCCCCCTCTCGGACATACATATATAGAATTAAAGTATGTGAACAGCTATAAAATTGCACATGTTATACTATGGGGGTGTTGAAGTTGCCTGCAGTACCTTTGTAAGGCCTCTTTGCATGTGAGCACTATGATCCTTCCTTCCATCATCATGATCTAAGTACCAGTACTGTAGGACGCAGGCATATGTTGTACATACTCCATTCTACTCCATCTTGCATTTCCATGTATATCATCCTGAAATCTTCGCCATATCACACTCTCATATCAGCCCACTACTTCTGAGACTGCCTGCTTCCCTACTACAAGTTCAAAGCATACGTTTCATCTAACAGAAGTGTCTAAGCAGCTAATCCACCATCTCTCTGATCATCTTATTTAAGACATTGAGAAATTTAATAAAGTCAAACAGAGCTTTCTAAAAGAAGAACAACAGATCAGGAGTAGGCATGGTTTTAACACAATTATTTTATCCAAACTGGAGGCTGTATGCTTGTGCATATGGAGGCAAGGCCTATTCCTCCTATGGTCTAGGAATCAGATGTTGAGAAGTACATAGAGTATTTTTGCATCTTCCTTGATGTTTTTCCAGCTCTTTTATTGAGGCCTTCATAACATTGCCTGTTATGAACATTAGACTTAGCAGGTCTTTAAGATCTGTTCCTCTCTGAATAAAGACAGATCCTGAGGAATGATGAGCGGTCTTCTCTGCCCACCCAAACTGTCAGGAATAAATGAAACAAAATCTGTTTCCAGACATAAGACCAATGCATTCTGCTAATGACAAAGCAAGAAGCAACAGCTACAGATGCCTGAGAGAATGGATGTTTCAGTACATTAAAAGGTCCAGTTTTAAACATGAGAACCCCTGCATAGCTAAAGGTCTCTTCACTCCCCCTCCACACCCTTTCCATACAGCCAAGTTTGGCACGTTCCACACTGGGGGTTTCTCTCTGCCATCCATTCTATAACACTCCACACCTGGGCTGCCCCTTAATTGATAATGTAATTATCAGCATAGTCATATTACTTCACACTAAGCATTTTCAACCATTTATCACAATGTTGATCTTTATTTTAAATATAAATCAGGCAATCATTTATGTCTTTTATGTTCTTTGTATTTATTCAAGAATATTTAACTGTAGACAAAAGGTGACTTATTCATTATTCATCCTGAACAAGGCAAGTATGGCAATTTGAAAAGCCTGACATTTGAGCTTTTTGCCAACACTAGCAAAATTATATCCTTCCCATTGTAAATCAATGAAGTAGAATCATTGTGCACAAAAGAATTAAATTGCCTTGTCACTTTAATAAGGCCACCTTATATACAACCTTCAGCCAATGCCATTGTGCAGAAAAAGGGTGCATCCTTTGCCTCAGCTGCCTCAGATCTCAGTAGGCTTTCCAATTAAATGAACATCCTCTTAGTCTTTCACTCCACTCCACTCTTTCTCTTTTTTGAGAGGCAATGTCAGAATGTCATAGGCATAACTTGCTATCAGTGGCATGCACACATCAATGCGAATTAACTTCCTCCAACTCCTGCTTCTTTTGGCAGCCTTTTTAACTTGTTTGTCATTTCCAAAATGATGGAACTCCAAGAAAGGGGATTTTTTTTTTTTTTAATTGTTTACTGGGCTTGGATAAAAGCTGCAAATAGCTATCTGCAAAACAAGAAAACTATACAAATGTGAGAATCCTTTGCCGGCAATGTAGATAATGTAAAATGGCAAAGAAACAACGCGTCCAATCAAGCAGAACACAAGTGGTGTATGCCAGAAAGAGAACAACTTTGTGTGTTCTCACTTCACAGGCTAGGACCCTATTATTACAATCAGACCTGATTTTTCCCATCTAATACCCCTTGGATGCATTTTACCCTGAGAGTAGAAACCTTTAACCAGCCATTTCCAGCCTTTTAAATGACTGTCCAGGACAGCTATTTCATAATTCAACAACAGACGGCTGTCTGTAATAGTCATATGCCTGCCCCTTCCTTTCAATCTTAGCATGCAGAGGTTGAAAAAGTAACTTCAGCCTGTTTTTTTCTCAGAATCAGAGAAATGAAAACAATGAAACAAAGCTGTGCACTCCAGCAGCCAAAACACAGCAGCGTGAGCAAATCTTGATATTTCAAAACATATTCAGAAGTCTGCGGCTTTACAATTGTTTTGGAGTCTCAATATTTTGTCCTGTTTTGATAGTTAACTGAAAGGTGCATGGTAAAGAAAAAACCCATGTAAGTATAGAAACAGCAACAATATTCTTGATGTTGTTAACATTTTGAGTTTAGTCAGAAAATGTTAATAACAAATGACCTTTTTCTGAAGGGTATTTTAAGGAGACCAAGCAATTTTCTGTAATGTGGTTACCATAGTGATTGGCCCTCTAAAAAGACCAGGAAAAAAAAAAAGATGTACATCTGTAATCAACCAGCTACTGCAACAACAAATGGTTTGATAAAGCAACACTTTGAGTTTAATTCCAAGCCGGAAAGATACTGGCTTTTGAAGTTAAGTATAAAAGAAACTATTTATGGGTGGAAAATAGGTCCTCTAGTAACTATTACAGAACATTTGTGATGACTCAGAAGGGATTTTCCTTGAAAAATACATTAGTGCACAATAGATCAATTTTTTTCTTAGAAACTACTACATCATCTGTACTATACTGAATCATTCAGAAAAAGAGCTTAACAAGCACCTGGGGATGGCAAATAGGAACCTCTGACTCCCCCACTCCCTGTCTCTTGCCTTTCCTGGAGCATACCTGGAGAAAAAGCAGTTAAAAGAAGTGCTACGGTTTCTAACATTTCTGGAACTAGACTTACCAACTAACACAGCAAATGTTTCAGCCTACCTGTCCAGGTAAGGTTGGTGTATTTAAGGTATTTAATGACAGGAACTTCAAATCACCAATTACAGAACATATAATTAGACATTTAAACCCCAAATTAGAATCTTAAAACTTCAACCACCTTCCTAATTCTCTTCACTGCTGCTTGCTCTGGACAAAGACCATGGACATGCTCTTTTCCATGCTAAAGTTCCCTGGAAGCCTAATGTGACAAGCCTGCCCTTACTCAGACAAGTCTTTGCCATGGCAAGGTGCTTCAGCCTGAAGCCATGCAATGCCCAGGAACCAGATATCCCTTCCTTCATAACCTTCAAGCTTGGGAAATGTCTAAAAAACCCCAGCACAGCAGTACCAAATATTAGGTGACTATTTACTTTACATTAAAGCATCTTTAAACAAATTGTAAAAGCAGATGAATGACCCTCTTCTAATTGCTGACAATACAGCACAGAATAATAAACACAGAATAGCAGCTCACCATCATGG